AATATGGACGGTTTGTTTCCTGTCCTGAATCTAGTGGGCGTGGTGACGTGATTGTACAAAGGAATATTATCGATCAGTTCCTGCAAGTCTGCTTTGAACTGCTCACTGGGCGATGCCGAAACCTCCAGATTGTGTAGGAGATTGTGGAGGAGAGAAGACAATCGCGCATGCAGCACGATCACTAACGGAGGCTGAAAAGAACTATAGTCAGATAGAGAAGGTAGAGCTCACGATCGTTTTCGCAATGAAACGATTCCATAAGATGCTGTATGGCAGACATTTCACGCTCCTGACTGACCACAAGCCACTTCTGTCGATATTCGGTTCAAAGTAAGGAATTCCAGCTTTTACGGCAAACCGATTGCAACGATGGGTGACCATACTACTGGCCTACGACTTCAGTATACAGTCTAAACCGACTCAACTAACCGGTCAGGCGGATGCTCTGTTTAGTCTCATCAGTTCACACCCAAAGGAGAATGACGACTGTGTGATTGCATCAGTTCCACACGGGGCACCCTGGTACCAGCCGCATGGAAGCCTTGGCACGCAGCTTTGTTTACTGGCCAGAAATGGATTCGGAAATTGAAAATTTTTTCCAACAGTGTGAATCTTGTCAACTTGCAGCGAAGGCTCCTCCCAAGTGTTAGTGGCAACCTTGGCCTAAGGCAGAGAAACCGTGGCAACGAATACACTTAGACTGTGTATGACCCATTAATGGCCAATCCTATCTCGTTTTGGTCGACTCATTCACCAAGTGGCCTGATGTGATTCCGGTAAACAATCCGACTGCACAGTACACTGTCAACGAGCTGGAGAAGCTGTTCCGATATTTCGGCCTGCCAGAGATGTTAGTGACAGACAATGGAACACAATTCACCTCAACTTCTTTCCGCGAGTGATGCAAGGAAAAGGGAACTCATCAGATGTTCTCACCACCATATCATCCGCAATCAAACGGACAGGCGGAAAGGCGCATGGATCCGTTCAAACGTGCACCCTGTAAAGCAGGGCAAAAAAGGGCTTCACAGGATGCAATTCAATCTTTTCTATGCATGTATCGGAACGCTCCGAATCCGAACTCCCCTGATGGGAAATTCCCCACAGAAGTACTCTTTGGAAGAAAGATCCGGACGTTGTTTGATAATCTTTTACCAAGGAGAATAGAAAAGCACGGCAACAGTCACCAGGAGGAAGATTGCAAGATCAAGCTCCGTAACTTCAATGTTGGTGACATGGTTTACTCCCGGGATTTTCGATGGCCGAAGGGGTAGTCGAGCGGGACTGTTCTCGGCAGGAAAGGCAGAGTTATCTACGTGGTGGTGGTTGGACGTGAGAGATGGATTAGGCACATCAATCAGCTGAGACCGAATCATGTCAAAACCCAAGGTCCCCATGAACCACCAGCTTTACATTGGGACATCCTACTAGACACGTTCGGGTTGGAAGCTGAAGGTCAGCAACCAGGTGAGACGAAACAAATGCCGCAGAAATCAGATGCACCATGCACGCCGCCTCGGAAGCGGAGAAGGCCACAACGGCTGCAAATCGATCCCCGGGCGAAAAGCTACGAACACCATCCGGTTCGAAGGGTGTGCAGGCTGACTCAGTTCGGAAGGGTAGGTGACAGCTGGGCGAGAAAGCTGAGAGCCAACGCTCGCGCGTTTACCACCAATCGTGCTTGGGAAGGACTCTACGAGCGTGTTACCAGGGCCCAGCCGAAATCCGGTCAGACACCAGGCATGTTGCCAAGGCCTGACCGGAAGCTGACGAAATCACGCGTCAGACATCACGTGCGTTGCCATGCGCCGGGCAGGCGAACGAAGACTGGAGTGCCTGAGAAACACGGTGAACTGCACAGATGCAGCGGACAAGTAGGCGTGGAGCGTGGGCTTAGAGCCAAATCCGCCTGGTGATAGTGACATATAAATATGACCGTTCTTTGCCTTAATACAACTCTGGTCTGCTGAGTGTTCTTCTGTCTTCGTTCCGGTCGGGTTTGCCAAGGCGTCAATCAGAGCACGCGTAAGGGCGCAGATTTAGCAACAGGCGTGAATCAACCAGGCGAGAGCGTGCACAGCGTTACAACAAAGTTTAAGCTATGGAAAAACGGTCAACTTGGAGATGTGGTCAGGATATAGAAGTGGTCATTTTTTTAGGCCTTACTGTATGTTCATGCAAGTTGCAAGAACACTCACCTGACAACTACCATTTGGCAAACTTGATACTAAACTGAACAGTTGGAGCACAAATGAGGCCGGCAATGAACTGGCTAGTTTCGCATATAAAGGTGAAAATTTTAGTTTGAATAACCGTTATGTGACTGGGACTGCCAGGAGCACAAAAATCGGTCATTCGGGGGGCTCCAGCAGTCACTCTAGCGTACTCCAATCAGTCAGTCATGCTAAATGGGTAGATTGAACGTGTGGGTGAAAGAGGATGGAGCCGAAACATGGATTTCCTGAAAGTGACTTCGCCGCCAATCAGTCATGGTCGTGTTAAGCGATGTTCGTGGAGTCCTTTGACCCATGAAGAAATGATCTTGATGAGAGAAAAAACGACCTCTTTTGTTCCACTCCCAACTCTTGCTGAATGGTTCTAAGATGAACGATACAGCTATTGTGGTGTTGAAACCCAGAAGTGCACGGTTTGTAGATCAAACCTTTTGATTTACATTATCACCCGGGACCCGACGGTTGTTTCGGGTTAAGAGGATGGTGAAATTCGCAAGCCCTAAAATTCGCACATCTGAAAATAACACGGGAAAATGTATATCAAAGAATCCACGAGGTAATTAGTTTTCACAACAGGCAAAATAATCCATTTCCACAAGCGAGCTGATGTTTTCCTGAAGGTACTAGCCAATTCTTTTCATCCTCATAGGTTTTCCTCTGGCCAGGTACTGTATTAGTGCGCGATCATTTGAGCAAATAGATTTCCTTCTTCCCTACTTCATGGCGCACTGTTTTCTGATTTACTCGATTCAACAGCATTTATATGAAGAGTCACGCACTGCTGTCACTTTGGTTTCTGGTTCATCGACACCACGGGTTCAAGTTAAGTCAAGTCTAAGTAAGCTTCATGCGCCTACCATCGAACAATGGAACCATGGTTTTATACGGGTAAAAAAGCGGTAGCTTAACGGGTCTTGCAGGATGATCATGGTGAAAATTCAAAATGTAGGAAAATTTTTCAACAAGTTAACCTTCAAACCGGTGGACTCACCGCGGTATTAGTACGTATAAATTCATTGTAATCTAAGATATGTTCGATACCACACATGTGTATCTGTTACACACGCACATGCATCCGTTTACACCGATCTCGTGAGGGCTGAGGAGCACAATGTTTGTCTGTGTTCTGTTGTCAATAAGTGAATAAAAATCAAATCAGGTAAATGCAGGTATTATAATGCATCGTCGTGTCGTTTTAAAAAAGTAGGTAACGTGGTCGCCGAAATGACAAAAGTCGGAAGAGCGTTCCAGGATTGACAACTGTGAAGCGAAAAATAGTTCCGAAAGCATTCCAACCGACTGTGTTGTGTAGCCAGTTTCAGCTGGTGATCCCTCAATTTCGTGTTGCGATTTAATTTCAGGTGGCGGTAAGAGTGATCAGGGTAGTTTAAGATCTGGAAAGTCAGGATAAGGTTGCCTCGTAGACGACGATAACTTCCGTTATACACTCCTAAGATTTTCAGTCGCAGATGGTACGGCAGGTGGAGCATTCCCTTAACATTCTTTGTTGCCCTTCGCTATACGGTATCCAGTGCAACCAGATCGCATTTTAACCAGGGTTGATAGGCCTGAATCGCGTACTCCACATGGGGCTTCGCATACGCATTGAGCATTTGGGGGAAGATGAAGGGGTCGAACCGCCGGAACGCCCTCCGTAACAGACCAACGTGTTGGTTAGCGGTTTTGGACGCCTTCAAAGACTGCGTGGAACACCCGAGGTCTTCATGCATCACCATCCCAAGATACGCTCCTGTGAGGCGGTTTTCAGCATGTAGTCTTCAAGCTTATATAATTAAATGGGCTTGTGGCGTACATGTACAGTCTTCCACTTGTCCGCGTTAAAGGAAGTAAATTTGCATTTGACCATTCAAAGGCACGGTCTAAGTCACTCTGAAGCAAATCGTCATCTGAAAACCGATAGCCCGCCATATCTTGATGTCCTCGGTAAAAATGGGAAACTTCGACTCGATGACACGCGCCAGGTCGTTGATGAAGACCAGGGATAGGCGCGGTCCTAACACCGTTCCTTGTGGGACACCGCAGTCCACGTCGATAGGATCAGAAAATGTACCTCTAACCAGAACTTGAAGCCCCAGCTGAAGCAGAAAATTTCCGGTCCATCCAAGGACCGGGTCCCCATTTCCGTAGGTATGCAGCTTTTGGAGGATCCGGTGATCCAAGTAATCGAAGGCTTTAGAAAAATCGAGATAGATGTAGATGGGTACATTTTCATCATTTTGTGATATCAACTACGAACGGACTAAAATGGCACCTCGAAAGTACAAGAATGACTCAACTAGACTGTTTCACATCAGAAAACAACGACTGCACCTTACTAGAGTGAATCACCGGGCTTTGCATCGGGTTGACAATATAGCGTCGAACGTCAGTTTCTCATCCGAAACGGTACTTATTCACGCTACGAAAAGGTTTCTCGATAATTTGTTTGAATGTGTTCATGAGTTTGCGATCGAGATCAACAAGTTTTCAACAAATCAAAACGTTCGTCTAACCGAAGAGCATGTCAAAAATATTACGAGCTCACTGTTAAATCCGCAGTAGGCAGCATAAGAGCGAAGAATCCAACACTGCTTTGCGTCAACATTGACCCTTTATCATGCTAACACAGGGCTTTCGTTTTTATTGTAACTGAACTATTTTGAAGCGTTCTCGCAGGCATTCGTGGTTGCTGACAAATTGAAAACACGATGCACGCGGAAACCGTCTGCAGTGACTCACTACCCATTATGTTTTCTTCTTTGGTAGGTCACCTGAATCTAAGTGAGACCAATGTGGAAGACGTACTGGAGGCTGCTTGTTTCCTACAGATGCCAGAAGCTTCGCAAGCATGTGAGCGCTTCCTGATCAAGAGGCTGCATGGGAGTAATTGTCTCGCAATGGCCCGACTAGGTGAACGTCACGGATGCCATTTACTGCATCGAAAAGCAATGAGATACGCTTTGGTAAGCCCGAAGCTGTTCTAGAGCTATTTTGTCCACCGACTATCAGTCTTCTATCAATGTAGAAAAAATGTTTTCCTTCCTGGATGCGCTTAACTCTTATATACAGGAATTTTGTGATGCACCTTGCTTTTGCGCTTGACTTGCTTTTTAATAAACAGCGTTCATCACTAATGAGTAGTAGGCTATTTATAGTTTTACGGCGATTTGTCGTAGATAGGTTCAGCGAGACAGCCACCACACATCCAGGCGAGCGCTAGATGGCTGTTTCGTCCTATTGGGACTCGTCAGTAGCACACACCCGCCGAGTACCGCTGGAACCGAAATCATGACCTTACTTTTACGAGACAGCGACTTATGCCACTGAGCCATGGGTGACGGCTGCAGACTACTTACTTACTTTACTTTACTGCGGCTAGCTCATGCGACAGGATGAGCCGGCTTCAGGAATGTCGCAAATTACAGCTGTCCAAGCACGGCGGTCGGCGGCAAGCTCCACGCAGAAACTGATCCAATGGTTCCTCCAGTGACGAGCACCAAGCACAACATGGAGTCCCATAAGATCGATATCGGATTTCACTGCAGGGAGCCACCTTTTCAATTTTCCACCACGACGACGAAACCAACCCTGGCAAGGCGAGGGTGAAACCAAGGCCCTGGTGAAGTCAGTGTCTGGTCTGTGGAGGACGTGACCGAACCGCTGAAGTCTGCGGCGTTAGATGAGCGTTGTGAGCTTCGGAAGACCGTAACAGCGCTTACGGATTTTCTCATTGGTGATACGCTCATGCCACTGTGTTTTCAATATAAGCCTTAGACACCGATGGTCGAAAACTTCCAGCTTCCGGGTGTCTTCGGATCGCAGCGGCCATGTTTCGCAACCATAGAGTAAAATGGCCCAAATGGTTGCTGAGAATACTAGGATCTTCGTTCCACGACTAATTTCGGTCCCTCGCCACAATGTGTTTCTCAATTGTAAAAAGCCTGTTCTAGCGCTGTTAATACGATTTTGGATTTCGTATTTAGTCTGACCATTGAGGAGTATAGTGGATCCAAAATACTAGAACTCAGGAACAGATTCGATGAATTCTCCATGTAAGGAGAGCGACGGGGCGGACCGGGTGGCTAACAATGAGAAGTATTTCGTCTTGCTGATGTTAATTTCGAGGCCAATCATAGAGGCTGATTGGTCGACCCGATTTCGCAGTGACTGTAGTGATATAGCATCTTCCGCAAGGATAGCGATATCGTTAGCAAATTCTAGATCTGACAGTCAGAAGTCAAGGCTAACTTGTACATCACGATAGCCCTCAGGGGTATGATGAATAACCCAGTCGATTGCGAAGCTGAACAGCACTGAAGAAAGTGGGCAACCCTGCCGGACTCCAGTATTGATGTCCAATTCCTCTGTTTCTTCTCCATAGACCCGAATCCGGGCCTTCGTGCAGTGGTAGTATGATCTCATCAAGTTAACGAGTTTAACCGACACACCATCGGTAAGTAGTATTCTCCAGAATGCTTCGCGGTCATCTTAGTCGAAAGCAGCTCGAAAATCAAAGAAGCACACAATTGTGGGCTGCTGGAATTGGTAGCGGTGTTCGAGTACTCGAGGTAGAATGAGGATTTGGTCAATGCAGCCTCTGTCTGAATGAAAGCTACCTTTGTTATGGCGAGTTCACAGATTCCTCTCATTGGCAAAGCGAGAAAGCAAGATTCGTGTGAAAGTTTTGGCATCCACATCGATCAGGCTAATCCCGCGCTAATTACTGCCCACAGTTCGGTCACTTTTCTTGAGAAATGGCACTAGTACTGAGGTATTCCACGAGGAAGGGCAGATTTCGGTTTCCCATATCGAGCAGAAGAGCTCGTGCAAATGGTCAAGGAGAGCTGGTAGACAAGATTTGTAGATTTTCGCTAGAATCCCGTCCGCTCCCGGGGCTTTCTTCGGCTTGAGGTGGCGAACGATATCTGCAATTTCTATGGGAGATGGCTGTGAGCAATCCACGTCTTATCCTGGCTTGGTTAATGCTGAAATGGGTGCGGAATTGTGTAGTGAGCGATATAGGAGGTTGCTAAAATACTCTACCCATATAGAAAGTTTTCCTTCCTTATGGGGGATGATTTGGCCTTCAGAATTGCGCCATATCGACTGTGGTGAATGGCGGTTACCAGAAGCTAAGCGGACGAGAGGAAAGAGATGATCGAAATTGCCAGAATTAGTTGCAGCTTCCATGTTGTTTGCGAGATTAGACCAGTAGCGGTTGCGATCATTCCGTGCTGAGCGAGTTGTCTCACGTTTCGAGCGACGGTAGTCTGGGGGAATTCGTAAGACGTGCTTCTTTCGCCTTAGCGGATAAGCGGATGGTGTCTTCAGTGATCCAGTCCTTCACAATCTTAGAGATAAAACCCAGGGTAGATAAGGCGGCGCGCTGAACTGACGATTTTAGCCTAGACCAACGGGCGTCTACAGATTCCTTTTCTGTAACTACGAAGCGTGGTGCACTGGCAGAAATTTCTGCTTCTATTGTTGCCTCAAGGGATCGGCAGCAGTCAGTGTTTTCCAGTGGGGTATTGTTGATACGCTTTGGTGGTAGGGTCTTTCGGCGCGTTGTCAAGCTGAGTCTGAATTTGGCGCGCAGGAGTACATGGTCCTAACCACCTTTATTGCCTATTTCAGCCCCTCTGTACGCTCGACAATCATCGATGGAGGCCATCCACATAGATCGGACTAAGATGTAATCTATCTGGCTTGTTGTGCGACCATCGTTGGAGTACCATGTCAGAAGATGCTTTCTAGGATGCTGGAAGCGAGTATTGGTTACGGACAATCGGTTTAGGTCAGTGAAGCTGAGCAAGCGGCCTCCATTATCACAACACTCTCCAAGGGCGTATCTCCCGAATATGTGACGGGCTTGATCGTTCCTAGGACCGGTTCGTGCATTCCAGTCCCCAGCAATAATGAGGATGTAGCGTTTTGGAACATGGTTCATCACTGTCTGTAGAGTGTCGTAAAATTCGTCTTCGTCCCTTTCCGCTGAGAGTAGGGTTGGTGCGCAGTCAGAGATTATGGTCAGATTCATAGGGTGACCTTTGAAGGGTGTAACTGCTATTCTAGCTGAAAGGAGAGCGTAAGGTGCCTGGCAACTGACAGCCATGGTGTTATAACGCTGTGCCCGCAATCGACCGGTTGATTCACGCCTGCTGTCTGATGCGTGATTTCATCAGCTTTCGGAGGGGCCCTGGCAACGCGCTCACAGGGTCTTTCCCAAGCACGATTTGTGGCAAATACGCGTGCGTTGGCAATCTGGTTTCTCGCCCAGCTGTCACCTTCCGTTCCGAATTGAGTCAGCTTTTCGCCCGGGGATCGATTTGCAGCCGTTGTGGTCATCTCCGCTTCCGAGCCGGCCTGCATTGTGCATCTAATGTTTGCGGTATTTATTTTGTCTCACCGGATTGCTGACCCTCAACTTCCAGCCCGAATGTGTCCAGCAGAATGTCCCAATGCAAAGCTGGTGGTTCATGGGGACCTTATGTTTTGCCAAGGTTCGGTCTCAACTGATTGATATGCCTCATCAACCTCTCACGTCCAACCATCACCTCGTAGATAACTCTGCCTTTCCTGCCGATAACCGTTCCGCTCGACTACCCCTTCGGCCATCGAAAATCCCGGGAGTAAACCATGTCACCAACATTGAAGTTACGGAACCTGAATTTGCGATTTTCCTCCAGGTGACTACTGCCGTGTTTTTCTATTCTCCTTGGTAAAAGATTATCAAACAACGTCCGGATCTTTCTTCCAAAGAGTACTTCTGTGGGGAATTTCCCATCAGGGGAGTTCGGATTCGGAGCGTTCCGATACATGCATAGAAAAGATTGAATTGCATCCTGTGAAGCCCTTTTTGCCCTGCTTTACAGGGTGCACGTTTGAACGTATCCATGAGCCTTTCCGCCTGTCCGTTTGATTGCGGATGATATGGTGGTGAGAACATCTGATGAATTCCCTTTTCCTTGCATCACTCGCGGAAAGAAGTTGAGGTGAATTGTGTTCCATTGTCTGTCACTAACATCTCTGGCAGGCCGAAATATCGGAACAGCTTCTCCAGCTCGTTGACAGTGTACTGTGCAGTCGGATTGTTTACCGGAATCACATCAGGCCACTTGGTGAATGAGTCGACCAAAACGAGATAGGATTGGCCATTAATGGGTCATACACAGTCTAAGTGTATTCGTTGCCACGGTTTCTCTGCCTTAGGCCAAGGTTGCCACTGACACTTGGGAGGAGCCTTCGCTGCAAGTTGACAAGATTCACACTGTTGGAAAAAATTTTCAATTTCCGAATCCATTTCTGGCCAGTAAACAAAGCTGCGTGCCAAGGCTTCCATGCGGCTGGTACCAGGGTGCCCCGTGTGGAACTGCTGCAATATTTGCCTCTGCAATTTTGTTGGCACCACCACTCGATCTCTAAACATCGGACAACTGTCCACGGCTGATAGGGATCCACGTCGATTGTATAACGGCCGCAACTCTGTAGGTATGCTTCCATTTGGCTAAAATGTTCGTACCCACTGGATCGCTTTCTCCAAGATTCTGTCCCGTGAAGTCTCCATACGAATAGCGTCGGCTGTTACTGGTAGTCTTCTCACATTATCAGCCAGGATACGTTGGACTTCTGATTCGAAACTGGTAGCTGCAATCACACAGTCATCATTCTCCTTTGGGTGTGAACTGATGAGACTAAACAGAGCATCCGCCTGACCGGTTACTTGCGACGGTTTACACCGTATACTGAAGTCGTAGGCCAGTAGTGTGGTCGCCCATCGTTGCAATCGGTTTGCCGTAAAAACTGGAATTCCTTTCTTTGAACCGAATATCGACAGAAGTGGCTTGTGGTCAGTCAGGAGCGTGAAATGTCTGCCATACAGCATCTTATGGAACCGTTTCATTGCGAAAACGATCGTGAGCTCTCCCTTCTCTACCTGACTATAGTTCTTTTCAGCCTCCGTTAG